ATAGCAGAAGATTTGTAAATGCATTTCAAATATAAAGTAGTTGAAATTGTGGTGCAATTCCTTAATCACCCGATAATACTTTGACTACTGAAACAAAACACAACACAACACAAAGGCTTAGGAGTGAACCTGGGAAAGAAAGTGACTCAGAGGTCATCACTCTCTAGCAATATTTGTATCATAATGCCCAGCATCATAAAAGATCTGATTCAACAGAAGTGCACCATCATTTGGGGATGGAAGTAGCAGAATGCATCTCTGGACTCATATCAAAAAATATATATTTTGTTCTGTGCCTCTAATATATTAAAATGTAAGACATATTTAAATGCTTTTTTCATAGTCCCTAAATGTTTCTGCATGACTGGTACAATCTTCTCTTCCAGCTTTATTTACAGGGGCTACAGCTCATATGAAACTGGTTTTGCTTAATGGACCAGAACCAAGTATGCAAATTGCTCATCAGAACTTTGGCTCTATGTTCACTTAAATGTGAAATACTAGGACAGAAAATGACCAAAGTAGTGCTGGTCTGGTAGCTCTTTAGACAGTAATGTTAGAAGACAAGGATACTGCTAAATTGAATAACTTTATATTCCTCTATATAATAAAAGATGCACCTTACCATAATACCTTAATGAACATAGGATATAAATTTATTCTAATGACACTGATATCAGCACTTCAACTGTCAAAGTCATATAACCCAGAGTCAAAAAAGGAATACATGATTCCACACGTGCTATGAGGAAAGACGAATATATTAATAAAAAGTATCAGTTCTTATAGGTTGTACAAAGAATTATCAAATAAGCATCTGGGAGTCATAGAGTAAAGGGGAAAAATAAGTGATGGAGCTCAAGTTAGCAGAAATACAAATGGGACCCAACCTAGTCTCAGGAGAGAAAACCTGGGGGAGAGGGGAGGAGGAGCAAAGGGGGGTGAGGAGAAACAGAAAGACAGGGAAGAACTTCCTGCTCCCAACTGATTCACATCAAAGCAAGAGGATTTCCAGGATCTAGAAAGCGTCAAATATAGACACTGACCTTCAGCAATTGCCAAGATGACCTACAGTAGTACCTACCCTCAGGCTAGTCTCCAGGAATTAAAAGGAAAACACCTTCACCTAAGCGAGTGGTTCTCAACCTTCCTAATGGCGCGACCCTTTAATACAGTTCCTCACATTGCGGTGACTCCCAACCATAAAATTATTTTCGTTGCTACTTCATAACTGTAATTTTGCTACTGTTATGAATTGTAATGTAAATATCTGATATGCAGGATGTATTTTCATTGTTACAAATTGAACATAACTAAAGCATAGTGATTAATCACAAAAACAATATGTAATTATATATGTGTTTTCCGATGGTCTTAGGCGACCCCTGTGAATGGGTTGTTCAACCCCCAAAGGGGTCGTGACCCACAGGTTGAGAACCGCTGACCTAAGCACTCTATTATCTCCAGAAGCTTATCCTCAAAGAGGCAGAAGGTGACCTTCATCAGTGATAGGAACACAAAAGAAATACCAGGGAGAAAATCTAGCTCTACCTGGTCAAGCCAGGGAAGCGTCCCTTCATAAGAGGCAGCATTTGAGCAGGACTTAAAAAGACCAGCGGAAATTTGCAAAATGAATATAAATCTACTTTTGGGCAAAAAAAAAAAAAAAAAAGCAGTTCTCTATCAGTCATTAAGTATATAAGAAGGGGTAGCAGTGGAAGATGAGGCCAGAGAACACACTGCATTAGAAACACATTCTTAAAAAGAAAAAAAGTGGACCCTGGCTAGCCTTCCAGAGCCAGCTTTATGAGTAGCCCTGAGGTGGTTTCTAAATTACAAGGAAAATGTCAAAACACTGTTCCCTTAAAATTCCTCTAACAGGGATGATGTACACAAACAGATTTAATAGGATTAAAAATAATGATTTATGCCAAGCATTTTAAAGCAGGCCAAATCAACTCAACCAATATATACATAAAAATGGAAGGTACCCAATTTCTCTTATTTTAATGAGAATAAACATACTGGATGCCAGAAGTGAGGTAAAGAGGTCTCACAGAATTGAGAAATGGGAATAAAAATAGAAACATAAAACAACTTTCTTCAATATAAACTTGCTAACTTAGATTGAGCTTAACTTCAAAAAATCAGTTTAAAAAAAGGTTTACAGAGACCGAGGTACACAGTGTATGAGGGAAAAGGACGCACAACCAAACTACTGAAGCAAGCTTCTTTACAGCAGGTCGCTCCATTTAAAACTTAAATCTGATGGCAACACTATCGTTACGTTAGAGCAGTCTAATTATGAGGCAAGTCATAATCCTATTAAAAAGCTCTATTTGGGTACAGTGTTTTTGTTTAAAGAAAAAAAACATATAGAGGTGAGCAAAGTAGATTCGAATAATCAAATACTACATACAATAAGTTCAGCTATTAAGAAGCAGGAATAGAGCAAGTTCATTCTAGGGACTTGTAGCTTGAAGAACCACATCTCATGCCTTCATCAGAAACAGGCTGCGCTGGGCACCCTGAACTCTAAATTCTGGCCATAACGAGAGGCCACAGTTATGTCCCCAGCTGCTCACCTACCCCCTCAACACAGAAGGGCGCTGACAGATATCCATCAATTAATTACAAACAGAACAGAAGGGAAAACTGATATTATAAAACTAAAGACCTTGCTTATATTTCATTTCATGAACTGTGACAGATGTCTCCCTTTTACTGTAAAACCTGCTTGATTGGTCCAATATTTTATGACTTAAGCCTCATCCAAAGGGAACCAGAGTATGTTGCCTATACCCTGGTGTGATCTTACGGTTGGTTACCAGAGAACTGAAAAAGGAAGAAATCAAGCAAGGAAAATAATTCCTTATTAGAGGAAAAAAAGGGTCACACTGAAGACAAACACCTGTCATTAACATTAACATAATTTGATAATGGAGTCATAACCTAATGAACATGGTCACCGCTGTTCTGCGAGTCCTGTGGAAGAGACAGGGAAAGGCTGTGAATTAAAGTTAAAAAATGAGGATACACTGAGAAGCCCAACTCCTAGAAACCTGGTCAGTCCATGTAACCTTAGCCCAGGTAAATGAATATCTGTAAGGATTCATATTTCTTTTTTTGTATTTCAACTTTACGTAACTTTGTGATCTCTCCCACTATCTTTGAGGACCTGGGTAAGCCTGGTGACCCCAAGCTGAGAAAAACTGACCTACAACAAGAAATAAGCAGAGCTATTCAAACATAAACATCCCTATTTTTTCCACTTATCACATATTTCAGGGTGAGAAAGACATTTACTGGAAGTGAAAGCTTTCTGTTAAAAAAAAAATAGGTAAGAAATCTAAGGACAATATCCATTCACAAATACCGATGATCATACCAAGAAAACCACTGAGGCTTCATGAAATATTAAAGAGAAAATACACTTAAAAACTTTCATAATTTTAATCTCCCTTGAATCCCATTTAAACTAAATTTCAAAACATGTCAATTAAGCATTGTAGGAAGAAACTAAAATAAAATAAACCTTCAAGTAGTCTTTTTCCTGAAACAGATCCCAGGAAATACCTACTCAACAGTGTCGTTGGCATAGGTTCAAGTTAAATCATCGATTGTAAATATGAGAGACTTATACTGCGCAGTAGCCTTCAAAATTTTCTGTGTTTTGGTTTAACAGCCCAGCTTTTACCCGTTGTCTGCTCTTCAGTCTTCACGTCCATGAAACAGAAGGTACAAAAAAAAATTGCACGTCTGAGCTAGAGGGACCGGCATGGCAGCCTCCAACCTTCACTTACTTGCTGAAATCTCAAACCACAAAGCCATCACATACTTTTTCTAGGCCTCTCTTGGAAGAAATGAAAGAAATACCTTTGCTTAGGAGAGGAGCAACACAAACATAACATCACAGCTTCTGTTATGAGAATAACAAAAATTCTATTCCACTTTTCCTTAGTAATTATTAACAGATCTGCTTTTTATAATGATGAAGCCAAGAATTATCCTAGATGTCTATATGAAAGCACTTAACATTTCCTTCTCTCCATGTATACATAGGGTGTCCCAAAAAAATGTATACACATTTTAACAGTTGATAAATCACTTGATTTTCACTCCTTTTCAGGTTTAACTGATTTGAAATAATGGGTGAAGCCACACTAAGCTTTGAACAAAGAAAATTTATCTTAAAGTGCCACTAGACATTTTTTTTTATGGAGATACATAAAAAATAAAGTTTACAGTACAAAACTGGCAACAGTTGAGAGTTAATGTTGTAAAAGTTAAATAAAAAAAGTCAATAAAGCCAGTTTCTTACATGAAACCTCATAGAAGTATTAATTATGTGAAACTATTTTATTTTTAACTATATTTTTCAGCATCCCTACAAAATCTAATATACTAGTAACATGTCTTCATTTTTTATTTTGCAAAATGGATCACTGCAGATAACATTATTGGAAGCTGGGAAGAATGAGATTTGTGGATGCTTTTTGCTGTCACTGTGCCAAAAATATTTGTTTATACTTGAATAAATAGTTGTTGAGAACTCAGGACTAACATCCACACAGTAGTGCTGAAATACATTGAATGAAACTACTTTGTAATTCTACTTTTGGGGGTCCCATGGTAAGAAATCACATCCTATTTAATAAAGATGTAATATGCTAATGGTCGTTACACCATGAAGGGTAACGACCTGATCACAGATCAGCAGGAGGGCGGGGCAGCAAGCTATGGGAGGTGGGAAGGGTGGAGAGCTATTGGAGGGCAGCAGCAAACTACTGGTGAGCTACTGGCACAGGGATTCGTGTGCAGGGCTACTAGTATATAAATAAGTTAACAGAGAAGCAATAAGGGACTTTCTGATAAATCACATTATGAATCCACTTTTTGTTATTAAACAGTATTTAGGTTCCAGAATATTTGACAGTCAATGTTAATCAATCCCAAATACAGTAAGAAAACAAAGAAATATACACACTAATTAAGATTACCTTTGCTCCAAAGATGACGAAAACTTTTGTCCAAAGGCTGATTCAATATCACAAGGCAGTATTTCAAATTTCCTATGGAAAAAAAAAGAGAAGTAAAATAAATAAATAAACTGAGTCTCTTTTGCCTTCATTTGCATCTGGAGTCATACTCTACTAGTCCAGATTTTCTATCTGCATAGAGCTAAATTTCAGCCACAGCTAATTTCTGATACTCTTATTTTTTCTCATATCTTAATTTTAAAAGACACCATTAATTGTATCTAGCATATTCAATATGTCCATCACATTACTATATTTATCATAAAAAGTTTATTGTAAAAAAGGAATTACAAAAACAATTTATTATAAAAACAACTGGGTAAGCGTCTTCTCTGGCAGTTTACCAGTGCCCAGTAAACTTGTAGATTTTTAATAAACAAATCTTCACAAAATGGCTAATTGGAAAATATTTTCTACACATATTAAAGATAGTACAAATTCTGTCAAAGCATAATCATACAGGAAAATGGCAGCAATGATCACTTGTACTTCCTTAACAAGCTCCAAACACAATCTAGCCAGCACTGACAAGAACTTAGTGGAAGGAGGGAGGGAGAAGGGAGAGAGGAAAGGAAGGATGAACTTGAGATTATATCAATTATCACAAATGATAAATATACCCTTAAGTATATATAGCAGTGGATCTCAACCTCACTGCGTATCAGTCATTGATTTTTTTTTTTAAAAAAAAGCCAATCTGCTTCCCTAGAAATTCTGATCAATGTTCCTAAATTAAGCCTGTCCATCATAAGTTTTTAAGTAAAAGCATCATTAAGAGAATCTAATGGGTAACCAAGTTGAGAACCTGACATGACATCTCAAACTATTTACTTATGATTGTGGAAATAGCAACATTATTTTAAAAATACTGTTCAACCTTATCTTGACCTTTTAAATTGCTATTTTGTGAAAAATATGTATAGCCAAAATTATTTGTAACTTTTTTATAAATAAACAAATGATTTGCTTTTTACTTTTTACTGATAGAGACTTAAAAAAAAGATTAAAGATCAGTACTCTATGTGAAAATACACTGAAATGAAGCACAATTTACAATATAAAAAGTTAGACTGAAATCCATTAGCAATTTATCAAGGGTTTATGATCTCTGTTTAAAAAAATATGGGAACTCAAATAAAATCAATATTAGCCAAAACCATGCCAGTCATTATATATAAAATACCTATTTTGTTAGAGGACCAAAAACCATTATGAAGAATCTCTCATCCCTGAAAGTACTTCAATTAAGTAATGAAAACTCTACGGCATGGATTTCATTTTCATATTGCACAACTTCTATGCTTATGAGGATATTTCTAAGTGTGCACTAGGAAATCAAAACTATCAAGTCAATTCATTCTTTGAGGAAATAAACTGCATGTGGACAAAGCAAAACTATGAAAAAGCTCTGAACATATTTCATACCAAAGTCTATTAAATAATTGAATTACCAATAGACTAAGAATTGGTAAGTCATATAAGAAATTGCTTCTGAGAAAGTAAACATAACATAAACAAGTATTTCTCTGCAAAAATCTCTCTTCCCACCCCCATCCCCACCACCTAGAGCAGCGGTTCTCAACCATGGGTCGCGACCCCTTTTGGGGTCAAACGACCCTTTCACAGGGGTCGCCTAAGACCATCGGAAAACACATATATAATTACATATTGTTTTTGTGATTAATCACTATGCTTTAATTATGTTCAGTTTGTAACAATGAAAATACATCCTGCATATCAGATATTTACATTACGATTCATAACAGTAGCAAAATTACAGTTATGAAGTAGCAATGAAAATAATTTTATGGTTGGGGGTCACCACAACATGAGGAACTGTATTAAAGGGTCGCGGCATTAGGAAGGTTGAGAAACACTGTAATTATATATATGTTTTCCGATGGTCTTAGGTGACCCCTGTGAAAGGGTCATTCGACCCCCAAAGGGCTCGCTACCCACAGGTTGAGAACTGCTGACCTAGAGTAACTATTTTCTATTATCCCCATGGCTCCCCCTTCCATTGGCAGTGTCCCAGTTTAGATGAGAAATTAGATGCTCACTTTATTCCTCACCATATTCAGATCCCATCTCTCTGTTTCAATCTTCAGCAAAATTCACTTCAATAAGGTTTTGATCCCACCACTTCCAGGAAATAACTACTGTCAGGGTCATCAAAGACCTCCTATTGTACAATTCAATGGCTATACCTCAATTCTCATCTTGGCTCACACTTCTCAGTACCATAACAGAGCAGATCACTTTTGCACCCTTCCTTCTTGAATCATGTTCTTCCCTTGACTTCTTCATATGACTGCCTGCTCCTTCTCAGTCTTTTCTACTCACTTCTCATCTGAGCAGAAAACCCTCAATAAATATTTGTTGAATAAATGCAGAGTATCACCAACTTCTATAGCAGGAGTGCTCTAGGATCTATTCTTCGGCCTTTTCTATATCAATCTATACTGACTCCCAAATAATGCCCTCTAGACTCATGGCTTTAAATACCATCTATAATAATGGCTTCCATATTCATGTCTCCAATCTGGGGCTTTTTTCCTAAACTCCAGAACTGTATGTTTAGTTGTTTATTCAACAATTCCACGTGGATATGTAACAGACATCTCAAATTTAGCATGCCCAAAATGAAACTCCTGGGTATCCTTCCTCTAATTAAACCTTCTCCTTCCAGTTTTGGCAATCTGGTACCAACTTCACCACTAATAACCTATTCACCTGAACATTTTCCATCTCTAGATTTTACCATGAAGCCCTCTAATCGCCTCACTTCCACACTCACCTTCCCTAAACTCTGTTCTCCACTCAGTAGTCAAATGGATCTTGTTAAAATATAGACCATGGCATTTCTCTGTTCAAAGCCCTCCACAGTTTTTCCTTATCAGTAAAAGCCAAAAATTTCTAACAAATCACAAGGCCCTACAGAATCACATTTCTCTCTCTCTCTCTCTCTCTCTCTCTCTCTCTCTCTCTCTCTCTCTCTCTCTCTCTCTCTCACACACACACACACACACACACACACACACACACACACCCTGACACACTGGCTTCCTTGCTGGGCTCCTCAAATATAGCAAGAACAATTCCACCTTTAACATTTCTACTATAGATAGCCACGTAATCAGTGAGCACATTACTTTCTCTCTCAACCTAAACCCTCAGGTATCTGCTCAAAGTTGATTGTCATACAGCTTCCTTGACCAACCTATCTTTAATAGTAATGCCTCCACCCCATGACAGTACTTACTCTTGACCCAATTTGTTTTTTCTAGTGACCTATCATCAATTTATTCATTTATCCTTTTTTCTAATGCCCGACTCCCTACAGGAAAACATAAGCTCCTGGGTCAAGTGCCTATAGCAATGCCACATACTAGTAAGCAATCAATAAGTATTTGTTGAGAAGTTCTTCTAATTCTGACTTTATGTCTATTTATAATAAATTAACTCCAGCTCCTCACTTCAATAATCAAGTGACTCCTTCCAAATTTTCTAGGGACAAACAGTTCCATACTCAACACAATTCCTCACAGAATGAAAACACAATGGCCCTTTCTAGATCCCGGAGCCCTCAGGATCTCTTAAATGAATATTATACACAATGTTCCAGCAAGGCTACTAGAAAGACAACAGCAAAAACAATAATCTTGCCTTAAAACAATTAAATGCTATTTTGATCATTATAATTCAAGAAAAATCTAAAAAAAAATGGCGATGGCCCACAGAAGTCCAACTATATAACTAGTGTGGAAAATTTTTCTTTGAGAATAGATTAGACCTTTTCAAGCTACATGGATGTCTACCTATTTAAAAAGAAACAAAATCCATGTTAATATAACATTGAGCCTCGAAACCTGGGCACATATTTAGTTATTGAAATTCAACCATTGCGGTTGAAGTGTAAATAGATTTTGAAAGGTTACGTCAATTTCCACCTAAAAGCATTACTTCTGATGATGCAATGGAAATGAGTCTGTCCAAGTTTGGTAATCCTAACGTTATATAAACTATGCCACTGAAAACAAATTTCCCCAATAAATTCTCACAGGCATCCACACATGCTAGAAATAAATGCTAGTTCAGAAAAAAAGAGCATTTTATATTTTACAATGTTATAGGGGGAGGTTAAATCTAACAAAGTTTTGAGTCTTTCTTGACATAAAAGGAGAAGACTGTACCAAGATCTATTTTCTTTACCCTTGCAAAGGTTAGCCATATTTTTGCTCCCAATAAACACATTCTCACTAAAACCCAAATGAAGGAATTAAGTTCTTCATCTCAGCACACTGACACCTCAAAGCTGCTCTGTCAGCTGTCTGGGTTCAGGTGACCTGGGCCACAATAAACTGTTTCCTGTCAGTCAGAAAAATCAATCCCTGCCTAGCAAACGGTAGATGTAATGTCATAACCCTAAGGGTTCATCATAAAGGACTAAAGAATTATAGGCCATCACATCGGTTTTGACATGTTGACAGCTGGGCCCACAATAATACTCACACTTGAAAAGCTGGTTTAAAATGTTTTCTGAAGGCAGAATACATCAAGGTTTGGCAAGTGCTACTGAAATGAACAGAAGCCCTCCCTTTCATCCTTAAGCTACTCCTGCAACCTCAACCCACTTCTGACTACCCAGAAAAGTGCAGAATCCCTTTCACTGCCCAGCAACAAGAGGGCCAAAGGTTCAGCATGCCAGCACACACTCCCCTTCTAATAATACCTTCTCTAGACTTCCTACTGGGCTTTGGGTGAGTATGGTGAGAAGTTAATTTGGGGATGGGTTGGTTTTGAAGGTTTAGGGCAGGGGTGGGCAAACTTTTTGACTCGAGGGCCACAATGGGTTCTTAAACTGGACCAGAGGGCCGGAACAAAAGCATGGATGGAGTGTTTGTGTGAACTAATATAAATTCAAAGTAAACATCATTACATAAAAGGGTACGGTCTTTTTTTTTTTTTTAGTTTTATTCATTTCAAAGGGGCCGGATCCAGCCCGCGGGCCGTAGTTTGCCCACGGCTGGTTT